GGGGTTAGCCCCCTAAACTTTGTAAAGCCCCCCAAAAAACTAACGTCATACATACACCACATTATATATATAGTGTCAATAGAGTTTCCAATTTAAACCTGCAGAGTTTCAGCAACCTACCCCCAAATCTCAAACACTATTTGCGCCCATGTCGATTAGATATTTTTCGTATGATGACTAAATGGAACAAGCCACATYGAAAACTTGAAAGTATATAAAGCAAGGACCTGCAGGTTTCAAATAGAATAGTTTTAATCATTCATCACTCATATCTAGTGTGAACTTGTAATACATCATAAAGCGATTCGGATATTAAACTATGAGCATTAATGTTACACACTGATCGTACATGGAACTCCTGTACGCACGCTGTATACGACGTACACGCAAGGCGCGTGTATGCTGCAATGCAGGTATTAGCTAGTATAATAATAATAATAATAATAATATTGACTGTATGTGTAATATTACAATATATTTAAATCGCACCTGTGGGACCAGTTGCAACATTGAATCATTAGCGTCCAGCAGTCCGTCTGGTTTGGCCAGTATCTGTATCGTCTCGTTGTCGGCCACCTCAGACATGTGCATCTGCACCCAGAAGAACGTCAAGCAAAATATCAACACGACAGTGCGCAAACACACGCTGATGCCCAACTTCCGGCACACGGCGATAATTCTCTGCCGCAGGGTCCGCACCACGTCTATAATAATAATACGATGGTAGAGAACGTATATTATTATAAAACGATATACGTATGTATGCAGAGTGATTTTTTTTATAAGCATGCTTACCGCCATTTTTCCCATTATAATGGTTATAACAGTACCTACATTCATTCAAATTCTGATTCTTAAAATGTTTAAGTAGATTTAAAGACAACATTTAAGACATTGTTTGTAATACTTGAGGAGTATCCTTTAGCGATACCAATCTCTATTTTTCAAATGAGACCTCCCCCCCTTTTTTTACTGAAAATTATTCAGCGGATATATTTTTTGAAAATTTTGGTCTATCTAAATCAAAATATACATGATACATGAATAGTTTCTGAGTTAATAAAATGTTTATACTAAGGATAATAATAATCCTTAAAAATGATATTTATTAAACTTGGATAATTTTTACAAATAATTTATATCGATAAATCAATAGTAATAGTAGTTAAGTAGTACTAACCCATAACAATAGACATAAAGGTAATTATCCTTAAAACACAAAGTTAAAGGACTCAAAAACTATATTACCTTGAATTTTTATTTAGATACAGCAAAATTCTTAAAAACAAAAAATGTACTTATTAATAAAAAATAAAAAAGGAACGTTCCTATTTGAAAAACTGAACTTTTTTATTGTCTTAGGATTATCTTTAAGTGGTATAAAAAATGTCAATGATTCGAAAAATTGTCTTTAAGCGTATTTTAAAATTCAAAGATCTGAATTTTAATACATGCGTAATTTGACCATAAAAATAGGACAAGCATGCTTAACCCTGTATATTATTATTAGCAACGTTACAGCATCGTTATAATGCGTTATGATGGGCAATAACACACCAACTAATGATGTTGAAACGATATCGTGAGAAAAAATGGGTTTATGGTAAATAATTTGATATGCAATGCATCCTACCAATCGCCATTCCAGAATTGAATATTTCGGTCATTTTGTCAACCATTTGTTCACGACGTGTGCGCTGAATGTATGTGSAACGCAAATGCCCAAAAACGACGGACACGGATCGAAAACTGATTCATCCGTCGAATGCACGTCCGCAGTGCTGTGCAGGTTATGAGCCTGGAAAAAATCACACACATTACAATTAACTATATGTTATGTGATTATGTCTATATGGGTTATCAGCAGGTTTGTTATGTAGGTAAAATATTATAATATGTTTTTGTCAAAAATTAATTGAAATGCTAAATAATATATATTAAATATTTATATAAATGCTTAAATACAAATACAACGTGTACTTGTCTAATTTTCTTTAAATGCTATATATTATAATATTTAACATAATATCATTTTTTTTTTTTTTAATTATATAATAATAACATTTTTGTTTCAATTTGTATTTTGCGGATTAACCGCGAAATTTGCTTATTATCCATGGTAGTATCCACAATTTACCTTAATCCCCGCAGATAATTGAGAGTTTACTGTATTATAAATGCAACCGTAAAACGATTCTTAATCGATAAAAACTAATTTAAATGCAAATTTGGACTTAACCTAATCGTACGAACCAAGTCATTTATTAGATTTCCAACACAATATTATGAACAAAATAAATATTAATAGATACACCGAACTATCATCAATTTTGTCGACCGTCAACTACTGTGGGTTATTAATACCAAGCGTCACAGTGGTTGATTCACTATTTTTTTTATATATATAATACTTATAGACGTGCAACATTCGATCGATCAATTACAATATCCATTTAATGTATAATTAATACTTTGGTTTCCTGTTTTTATTTTCTGAAAACACAATGTCACAATGCCTAGTTAATAATAGAAATTTTATTTATATTTCTTCTATAGAACTTATCGTACATTCGTACCTAGTTAGAATACAATATAATCCTTATTAAATATTTATAAATGTGTATGAATTATTCTGTAACTTGAGATACCTATTCTTTTGATGTGTTTTAATATTGTTATACCTAMATTCAGTGGCGGTGTGATAGGGTGTTTTATGAGACAATTGCCTCACCATAGATTATACCTATAATAATGGTTACTATTTACTAACATAATATTTTGTATAGTGTATAATGACGCGATATTGTGGTAATACTAAGGTGGATTGATTAAGTTAAGGAAACCAGAAAATATTTAAACAAACCAATTTTTTGGTTTATCAAGATAAAAAAATATTGTTCGGTTTTTAATTTTCTACATTTACCTATATTTAAAAAAAATTCTATAGACTCCTACATTCGTTTGATTATTAGTCACATCACTTGGTTCCGTATTTGAATGTTTGYTGTTGTTTATCTGGATTCATGGAGAGCAAAATAACAATGTTAATAATTAACATGACAAAGTGTATTATTGTTGTAGAATTGTGAATTGGGGGTGTGGTGGCAAAGCCATCYATGGTCTGTGCTATACAATTTAGGTTATGGTGGTCGAACATCTTCATTTGCCWCGYGAAATAAAATAATTCACGCCGCCACTGCCTACATTAATATCATTAATTATCGACATAATATTATAAAAAATATGATCGTTAACATTAGACAAACATYTCATAGGTACTTAGTAGTTATCGTGATAATCAYCACTACAAATAATATTATACTAAAAATATGATTTAAAACAATGATAAAACAAACATTACACCTATTGCATATTATAAATTATMCACCAACACTGCACGAAAATCGATTTTATTGCCTATTGTTGCATGTTAAGATAATGTATTGTATTGAATAATCATTAAAGTGAAAATTAGTTGGCTAATTGTGTACACGGCTGACGGCTGATACRGCAATACCATGGATCAATCAACATTGTATTAAAAACCGAGGACATTTCATGGGATGTTGCACGCCGATTAAAAATATATTGATTTTTCAAATGCCAATAAT